TGGGCCAGCTGGGTCCGGTTTGGTCACAATCAGGCATTCTCATGTTTATGTGTGTGTCATTCATGGACGACCTCCCTTCCCCCTTTAATAGGGGATTTGGGGCCCCTTAGCAAATGAAGTAATTGCACAAAGACTGTGTGTGTGTGTGTGTGTGTGTGTGTCCCCTTCTCATTCTTATGAAGCCCCAAATGCTCCTCCACTACCCCCAAACAAACACAGGGAATCTTGTACTGAAAATCAGCATTTCACAGAAAGGAAATGGCATCGTGAGGAAGCAGCAGGAAGCACCTGCTTATGGGAGAGCTCACTGGGCAGGGCAGGAGGTGTCACAGCACTGCCGGCACACTTCCTTCTTCAAGCTGTTTAGGTGGTGCTCTGGGATGTCAGCCTCCAGGCTTTCAGCCATCAGACTCTCACCCTAAAGGGAAAAGGGAAAACTGAGGAAATATAGACAGTTATAGAGGAGAAAATAAAAATAATTCCACCCCCAAATTATCACTATTTTATTCTCTATATATACATATCTGCAGACACAGATACATGCATACATATCTCTAAAAGATATCACATAAAGGACATTATTATTATTGTAGTTTTAAACCTTCAATATTGTTTTATATGCACCCACATATTTACCCTTTTTCGTTCTCCACATTCCTTCCCAAAGTCCCATGCTTCCCTCTGAAATCTACTTGCTTTTCCCAGGATAACTTTCTTTGGAATTACTTATAATGCAACAAATTATCTGCTGGCAACAAATTCTTCAGTCTTGGTCTGAAAATGTCTTTATTTCACCTTTAAAATAGAAGGATAATTATATTGTTTGTCAAATTATTGGATAGCAATAAAGATATCAATCCATTGTCTTTTCTGTTTTACAATTTCAACTGAAAAGTCAACCATTAATCTTATTTTTATTTGTTTGTGGTTTTTTTGAGGGGGTATTTCTAAGATTAGTTTTCTTGTCATCGATTTCCAGCAATTTTACAATGTGTGGGTAGGTGTGTGGGTAGGTCTGTATGTTTTTAATTCTTCTTTCATTAGTTTCAAAAACTTTTTGGCAAGTGTGTTTTCCCAGATTGCTTCTGTCCCAGTCTTGTGTCCATAGCATACTAGACTATTTCACCAAGTCTTGTGTGTCTCTTATGCCCTGTTCTTTTCTTAATGCTCTTTTTTTGTTTGTTTCTGTGCTTTGGCTTATACATTTTCTGTTGACCTAATTTTGAATGCACTATCACTGTCTGTTGCTGATTCAATCTGTTGTTAAAACATCCACTGAGTTCTTAATTTCAGATATTGTACTGTTAATTTCTGGAATGTCCAGTTGATTATTTTTAAAAATAGCATTATTGAGATATAGCTTATGTATCATAAAGTCTAATCATTTAAGTGAACAATTTAATAACTTTTAGTGTATTTAGAGTTGTGTAGCTATCATCAAAATCTAATTTTAGGGCATTTCTATGCTCCAGAAAGAAACCTTGTGTTCATTTGCAGCCACTGTATTCCACTCTCAGCCACAGGCAACCACAAATCTACTTTCTGTATGGATTTGCCTTTCCTGGACATTTAATATAAGTGGAGCTATACAGTATGTGGTCTTTGGGTATACTTCTTTCACGTAGAATAATGTTTTCAAGGTTCATCTGTGCTGTAGCATGTATCCTTCACTCTTTTAAACTGCTGAATAGAATTTCATTGTATATTAGTATTTTATTATATATTAGTATTCCAAGTGTATTCCATATTTTATTTATCCATGGACCAGTTGATGGATATTTGGGTCAGGTTTTGGGCTATTACGAATAATGCTGCCATGAACATTTCTGTGCAGTATTTGTGTAGGGCATATGATTTCATTTCTCTTGGGTGGATATGTAGAAGTAGAATTGCTGAGTTGTGGTGAATTTATGTTTAACATTTTAGGTAATTGAACGATTGTTTTCTTAAGTGGCTGTACCATTTTACATTCCTGCTAGCAGTGCATAAGAGCTGTTTCTCTACATTATTACTGATTCTTACGTCTTTTTGATTTGTAGCCATTCTTGTGTATTGTAGAAGTTATTTCTTTGTGGTTTCAATTTACCTTTCTCTCATAACCTATATATGTGTATATATATATATATATATATATATATATAGAGAGAGAGAGAGAGAGAGAGAGAGAGAGAAACAGAGTCTTGCTCTGTTGCCAGGCTGGAGTGCAGTGGCGTGATCTTGGCTCACTGCAACCTCTGCCTCCCGGGTTCAAGCAATTCTCCTGCCTCAGCCTCCCGAGTAGCTGGGACTACAGGCATGTGCCACCAAAGCCAGTTAGTTTTTTGTATTTTAGTAGAGACAGAGTTTTACCATGTTGGCCAGGACGGTCTTGATCTCCTGACCTTGTGATCCACCCCAAATTCATATGTTAAAATCCTCATCCCCAATGTGATGGCTTTGGAAAGTGGGGAGTTTGGGTGGTGACTGGGTCATGAGGGTGGTATCCTCATGACCACGAATGAGATCCCAGAGGCCAGAAGTGGTGGCCCATGCTTGTAATCCCAGCACTTTGGGAGGCTGAGGCAGGCAATCACTTGAGACCAGAAGTTAGTTGTAAAGCCTGGGCAATATAGGGAAACCCTGTCTCTATTAAAAATGAAAAAAAAAAAAAGTAGCTAGGTATGGTGGCATGCACCTGTGGTCCCAGGAGACTGAGTTGGAGGCTTGCTTGAGCCCAGGAGGTAAAGGCTGCAGTGGGCTAAGATCACGCCACTGTACTCTAGCCTAGGTGGCCGAGTTTTGTTGCTTTTTTTTTTCTGTTTCAGAGAGAGAGAGACCCTAGAGACCCCAAAGACCCCAAAAGCTAGCTGGCTAGCTCCTTGCACTATACAAGGACACAAGGAGAAGGTGCCCTAGATGACAGGAAGCAGGCTCTCATCAGACACTAAATCTCCTAGTGCCTTAATCTTGGACTTCTTAGCCTCCAGAACCATGAGAGATAAATTTCTGTTTATAAATTTAAAAACTTTTTTTTTATAAATAGCCACTCAGTTTCTGATATTTTGTTATGACAACCTGAATGAACTAAGACAATGAGTGACCTTTTACAAAGCACCTGAAACACTGATTTTGAATAATCATTAGTTTCCATTTTGGTGTCTGTTCCATTCCTTATTCTCTAATACAAAATCTGCCCCCAAATACTAATCCTGAACCTAAGATTGCTGCAGCCATCCGCTGAAACCATCTTTCTCAGTGTGCTTTTATTTTTATTTATTTATTTATTTTTTTGAGACAGAGTCTCGCTGTGTCACCAGGCTGAAGTGCAGTGGCATGATCTCGGCTCACTGCAACCTCTGCTTCCCAAGTTCAAGCAATTCTCATGCCTCAGCTTCCCAAGTAGCTGGGATTACAGGCACACACCACCACATCCAGCTAATTTTTGTATTTTTGGTAGAGATGGGTTTTCTCCATGTTGCCCAGGCTGGTCTCAAATTCCTGGCCTCAAGCGATCTGCCCTCCTCAGCTTCCCAAAGTGCTGGGATTACAGGCATGAGCCACCACATCTAGTCTGTCAGTGTCTTTTAATATAATTACATTTAATATATTTACATTTACCTACCAACATATTTGGCAATGGCACAATCTCAGCTCAATGCAACCTCTGCCTCCCGGGTTCAAGCGATTCTCCTGTCTCAGCCTCCCGAGTAGCTGGGATTATGGGCGCCTGCCACCACGTCCAGTTAATTTTTTGTAGTTTTAGTAGAGACAAGGTTTCACCAGGTTGGCCAGGCTGATCTCAAACTCCTAACCTCAGGTGATCTGCCCACCCCAGCCTCCCAGTGCTGGGATTAGAGGCATGAGCCACCGAGCCCAGCCCCCATTTGGTATTTATACCACACATCTTGTGTTTTCTGTTTGTCTCACCATTTCAGTTTCTTAACTCTCTGCTTGCCTTCTTTTGAACTTTTTTCTTCCACTTTTTCCTTTCTATTAGCTTCCAAGTTATGTATTCAATTTTTAGACATTTAGCAGTAACCGTAGACATTTCATCAAACACACTTTACTAATGACAATCTAAAATTTACCATCTTTTTTCCCTTCAACAATACAGAACCTTAGAAAACTTTCACTGTGTCCATCCATATTTTAGTTGTATTTTGCCTTTCCTAACTCCCAAGATATTGTTATTATTGGTTTAAGGAGTCATTGTTTATTTAGATTTTCATAGTAAATTTTTATTCATTTTTCAAATCTGCTTGGTCAATTTTAAGGTCTTTTATTATTTATGTCTTCAACCTCTTGTACTGTTTACTTAAACATTTCTGTGTTTGATAATTCAGGGCATCTTCTCACGTCTAATTCTAGTTGTTTTTGTGCTGACTCTTGCTCATCATGCTGTGCCAGTCTTTTCAATCATGGCTTCTGAATATATCCTCATATTTCTTTGAAATTATATGCGATTATTTGTGCCTAGGTAGAAAGTGGAAAGTGAGTTCCTCCAAAAAGGAGGATTTCTAGCCGGGAGCAGTGGCTCGCGCCTGTAATCCCAACACTTTGGGAGGCTAAGGCGCACAGATCACTTGAGGTCAGGAGTTTGAGAACAGCCTGACCAACATGGTAAAACCCAGTCTCTAGTAGAAATACAAAAATTAGCTGGGTGTGGCTGAGTGACAGAGCAAGACTCCCTCTCAAAAAAAAAAAAAAAAAAAAAAAAAAAAAAAAAAAAGGAGCACTTTAAATCTTAAATCAACTTTTTGGCTTGAGGTTGTATACATTTTGTCTGCAAGCCTACATAAGGTCAGGATTATGATTTGAAAAATCAGGGCAGATTTTCCCCCTATGCCGGTTCAGTTCAGGTTTCCAGTCAATGTATTGTATTCATAGTGTAATGAAGGGTCAGGGTCAGAGACAGATTAATTCCTTATTTACTCTTACAGATGAAACTGTCAGATATCACCTGTAATGATGTTAGAAATTTATATGTCAGAATTTTACTGAAATTTTGATTTTGGCTTTAGAAAAAACATCATCACATGTGGTGGTTGCTGCCCTTGGCAATCAGTACCTAAAGAGACTTTGGGGTACAGTAGTAAACAGGACAGTCCCCCACGTCTACTGAACATCCAAGAAGAATTCAAGTTATGCTCTCAAGGTACAAGTCATCGGGGGAGGACATCCTTGAGTACACCTCGATGTTTTTCTTTTTTTCTTTCTTTTAGCGATGAGGCCTCACTTCGTTACCCAGGCTAGAGTGCACCAGCATGATCCTAGCTCACTGCAGCCTCAAACCCTCAGGCTCAAGCGATCCTCCCACCTCAGCTTCCCAAGTAGCTGGGACTATAGGCTCATGCCATTGATCTTGGCTAGTTTTTTTATTTTTTGTAGAGAAAAGATCTCACTTTGTTGCCCAGGCTGGTCTCAAACCCCTGGGCTCAAGCGCTCCTCTTGCCTTAGCCTCGCGAAACCCTGGGATCACAGACAACAGCCACCATGCTTAGCAGCAGCTCTATTAATAGGCAGCAATTCTTCAATATCCACTTAGACTCCAGCTCTGCTGGGACCATTGGCCATTTTTCTTCCCGTGTTGTGATCTTGCCCACCCCGCATCCACTTTCTCCCCATCTGCTTGGCTACTTAGTTGAAAACTCTCTTTCTGCCCAGCCTTTCCAGCTCCCTCTGGGAGCTTGGACCACGCCCCACCTGAAGGACTATCCTCCCTTAATGTCCCCAATCCCAGAAATCATCGTCAACCAGTAATCTGTCCCAAGAGCTGCTCGCCATTCAGACCTCTGGCCAACTCGTGACCTCCAAACCTCAATCCAGTCAGGTGTGGCCTCTGTAATCCAACCCAGACAGCCTGCTCTCTTTTCTCCTCATTTCCTCCTCCCCTCTTACCCTTCTTTCTCCCACGTTCTTATTCATATGTTCTACTCCAGGGCTCTATTTTTGCATACAAAACGTCATGATTACTGCTCTCTTTATAACAATTCCAGACCCAACTCCCCCTTTTTTTCCCCATGAGAGGTCAGCTCCTGAGTCCACAGGCCCAAATGTGAGTGATGCATGTAAGGGACAGAGTGTTTTCTCTGAGGCCTCCACACATCCCTATCCAGCCTTTTCATTCTCTGTGGTTTTCTCACTTCTAGTCCAAGAAACCCAGAAGCAAACCTGGAGGTGAGACCCAAAGAAAGCTGGAACCATGCTGACTTTGTACTCTGGAGGGACACAGAGTCTGTTCCTGGAAAGCCCACTGTCAAGGCAGATGAGGAAGTTGGGGGTCCCCAAATCTGCCGTGTATGTGGGGACAAGGCCACTGGTTATCACTTCAATGTCATGACATGTGAAGGATGCAAGGGCTTTTTCAGGTGAGTTACCCATCAGCCTTCACTCACCTGCCACCACTGACACGCTGGGTCACATCTAACTGGGGTCTGCCACTAACCCACTGGGTAACGTCTCAAGGCCTCAGCTTGACCTGTCCCCCCCAGGTTCAAAGTGTGGGCTGGTGGCCCTCCCAAAGGCCTTGTAAGAGTCTCAAGGGAGCCATTTATATCCCAGAGGAATCCTTCATTTTTAGTCTTCCTGTACTACCCAGGAAAGGTCTCCTTCCATTAAGATATCCCTGGGCTTCTCCATGTGGTCTCGAATAAAAGAGAAGATGACTCAATAAAAGATAAGGAATTTGAAAATCCCAAATCCAAGCGTTCATATCCGCCTTCTGGGGTGGTTGTTACGTAAAGAATGGCATAAATGAAAAATATAACAAAACAAGGTCACCTAGAAACAGACTAACAGGGAGGACCACAAACATGGTCTAAAATGTCCCAGCTCATAGCAAGGCAGGCCTGGACAGAAGAGCTCATGTTGTCCAGTTGAAGAAACAGAGCGAAGCCAGTTCAGCAAGGCTACCCTTGGGACAGGGCTAAGACCATGGCAAAAGAAGCAGACTGAGCGGAAGGGAGGGAGGGGAGGGAAGAAATGTGTGAACTATTTTGCAGTTTTGCAAATTATACCTTCCATGTGTGAGGAAGGACTTCCAGTTGCACCCTCCAGAGGGGATAGGGTATGCAAGGAGCAGCTCCCACCTCAAGGGCCACATGCAGGACCCTCATGCATTCCCAAGACAGCCAGCCTGACTTGGCCCTTTGCAGAATTCTTCCTGGAGGCTGGGCATTTATTTGAATGGAAATGGGCAAGTTCCTGGGAGAAATGAACATTTGTATTGCATGAGTTATAACAGGGGTGAGACATATCAGCAGCGTCAGGCTAGGTTCAGCTACAAGTCACAGGACACTCATTGCAAATTGGTTTGGCAATAAGGAAAATGCATTACCTCTCTTAACAGGAAGCCTGAAGGCCTCCAGGTTGGTGAGTTCGGCAGCTCAGGTTCTTTCCATTTTTCTCTTCAGCCATCCCACCTGAGAGCTCTGATTGCAATCGGGCTCCCCTTGTGGGTGCCAGGGCCCCAGGCAGGAATCATGAGGTTCAGCAGAGGCAAACAAAGGCCCATCTTTGAGAGTAAACAAACCTTTCCCAGGAGGCCCCTCATAGAGCTTGGCCCAGTCTATGCCTGAACTAGTCACTAGCAAAGAGCACCAGATATGTTCCTCAGCTGGGCACATGCCAGACAGCTGCGTGGAACAGGGAGGATGTCTGCACCAGCTCCAGATACTGCTGGCACAGAAGAGGCTGCCCATGCAATGTCCATGCATCCTGCCTCGGCGTGTGGGAATCTTCGGTTCTCCCTTCCTTGTTTGGGTACTATTTCTGGGACTCCCAGAAAGAGGCAACATGTTTTAGTGGGCAAGAGCTAAATCCAGTATCAGGCAGACCTGGATTCAAATTTCAGCTTGTCATGTACCCAGAGGACAGCTGGGTCCATTGTCTCCAAGCCTCAGTCTCCCTCATCTGTGCCAGGCAGATGAGATTATGAATTTCACAGGGTTTGAGATCTAAATTTGCAAAACTGCAAAATACCTAGCCTAGCATCTGATACATAGCATACCTTTAATCAATGTGCGCCCCGGTTTCATCTTTTACTCACTCTGGGTGAACTCTGATGTAGCATCAGGGCTTTCTTCCCCAGGCCAGTTGGGAAGGCAAAAGGCAGAGATGGCGTCTGTGAAGAACATGCCCCTCAGCTGGTCACTGGTCCGAGGCCCGAGGCCTCCAAGCTCAACCTTGCCGGTTACTGCGGGCTTAGCTCAGCCTTCCAGGCCTGCCCTCAGGGACCTCTGCAGCCCTACCTGGCTGTTCTGTGCTCCTGGGGCAGCCTTCCTCAGTTCCCACTCTGGACCAGAGCCAGAGCCAAGGGATAATTTGTTTCTTTCCATCCAGCTGTGGAAATGGGAAAAATAAAGGAAGGGCTGCACCAACCGTGTCTTTTGTGCAGGACTCCTGGGCTGGGAGGAGGAGATGTTGCACCAGCGTCTCCAAAAGGCCTCTGTCCCATTGCCTCTCTGCGCACCGCCTCTGTGCGGGCCGGTGGGTCCCGCCTGCACCCTCTGCTGTTCCAGGCGCTGGACCTCTTTGCCCCTTAGATCAACGAGGGGAATCCACTCTGCCATGGGGAAGCCGCTGTCCCGCGGGGTAGAAAAGCTTCCCCATAGTTCACCCCTTCCTCCCTGGCAACCCAGTCAAGAAGCGGAGCAAGGAAAGGCGGGGGTTTCTCTGGTTTCTTACTCTCCTGGGGTCAGGTTTCCTCGGTTCCCTCTTTTAAGGAGGGGAAATCGAGGAAGAGGCCCTCTCCATGGAAACCTTCCGGTAACAAGGGTGTGAAAGAGGAGGGGACAGGGGTTTCAGGAAGAGGGGAAGGCGCTGGGGATGGGCCTGGAGCTGAAGTGTCCCAGAAAGTGGCCCAGGAGCTGCAGGAGCCTGTGAAAAGCACGCATCCCATTTCCTGCGGTAATGACCAGAAAAGATCTCCTCCCCTCCCTGCCCCCTCTAGCCGAGTCCTGGACCTCTAGGGACGCCCACCTACACCCTTCCCATAAAACCCGACCCAGCTGGGACGCAAAGGTTGGCGTCCCCCTCCCCGAGTCTGTAAGGAGGGAGGTGATGTGGCCAGGAGCCCCAGACCAAGGGCCCGGGCACGGGTGCAGATTCCCTTCTGCTCCCCGTTCTCTCACAGGAGGGCCATGAAACGCAACGCCCGGCTGAGGTGCCCCTTCCGGAAGGGCGCCTGCGAGATCACCCGGAAGACCCGGCGACAGTGTCAGGCCTGCCGCCTGCGCAAGTGCCTGGAGAGCGGCATGAAGAAGGAGAGTGAGCAGCGCGCGCGCGGGCGGTCCGGGGGCCGGGGCCGGGGCGCACGGCTCTGTGTAGGGACGCGCCGTGGGTGTGTGCTGCGTGAGTGGAGATGGGAGCCGAGTGTGCGCCTGAGCGCACGTGCACTTGTGAACTGATGTCGTGGCGCAACAGGCAGCCACCTAGGGGAGCGCTTCCAGCCGGCCCTGTGGAGACGGAGGGAGTCTAGTAATCTCTGCCCCAGGAGATGTGCTGGGCAGCTCTGGCCAGGGTGTGCTCTCTGTCTCCCCTCAGCTGCTCCTGCATGATTCTTTTTGTCCGCCTCATAGTTGTTCTGATGGTTTAAAACCACATTTGGGGATAGGGGTGTGAATCTGGGGAAGGGAAGCAGGAGCCACATTGGTTAATGGGACCCCTAGCCTTCTAGCTACTAGCCCCACCAGCTGCCCCAGACCTGGATCTTTATAGGGGAACTCTTTGCAGACAGGTGACATGAGGCGTCCTCATTCTACCTGTTTAACTTTGATACATCCGTGCTCCCAGGTCACTCTGAGATTAAGGCTCATGGGGAAAAGGCTAGACGCTTCTAGTGCGTATTTGTCTCCATGGAACACAAAGGGACCCAAAGCTGCTGCTTTTTTTTTTTTTTTTTTTTTTTTTTTTGAGACGGAGTTTTGCTCTTGTTACCCAGGCTGGAGTGCAATGGCACAATCTCGGCTCACCGCAACCTCCGCCTCCTGGGTTCAGGCAATTCTCCTGCCTCAGCCTCCTGAGTAGCTGGGATTACAGGCACGTGCCACCATGCCCAGCTAATTTTTTGTATTTTTAGTAGAGACGGGGTTTCACCATGTTGACCAGGATGGTCTCGATCTCTTGACCTCGTGATCCACCCGCCTCGGCCTCCCAAAGTGCTGGGATTACAGGCGTGAGCCACCGCGCCCGGCCCCAAAGCTGCTTCTTTCAAGAACAAGTTCTCAAGGCTGCTGGCAGGCGCCCTCCATCTCTCCCCACCAAGGACCTCATAGCTTTGCTCTATACATACAGTGGGCTCCAGAAATCCACAGAAGACCCTAAGGCTCCAGGCTATATAGGAAGTGTCTAGAGTTACTATTTCTTGCTAAGCTGTACCCCAGCTCTCTGGGGTCTTAGAGACCCAGACACCTCTGAAAGTCTTGGTATATAATTCACCAGAAAATGATAACAGTAGATGCCATTTATTGAACATCTTTTATGTACCAGGAATTATACTGGACTCTTTACGTCCAAGGTCTCATTTAACAGTGGTACGAGGTAAACACGGTTCCTCCAGATTACGAAGGAGAAACCTGAAAGCAGGAGAGGTTAAGGAGGTTGCCTGGGGTCACAGTTAGTAAGTGGCAAAGCTTTCATGCAAACCCAGCGCCTTCGGATTCTGAAGCCCATGATCTTACCAGGGCCCCACAGTGTCCTCACAAACCCTACTGCAGAGAGCAACACAGCAGCTGCACCCCAGTTCTGTCCTCACCCAGGTATTTCTCCAGAGGAGCCCATAGGCCTCTCAAGTCTGGACAGGGGAGAATTGCTTGTCACCATCATTTTCCCTTTTGCCCAATGCCTTCTGCTGCCTTGAAAGCGTTATGTAGTGGCTTCCCAGGGGGCTGGAGGCTGACCAGGGGCACGTGTGCCTGAGCCAGCCTCACTGTCCCTGCAGTGATCATGTCTGACGTGGCTGTGGAGGAGAGGCGGGCCTTGATCAAGAGGAAGAAAAGAGAACGGATCGGGACTCAGCCACCGGAAATGCAGGGGCTGACGGAAGTGCAGCGGATGATGATCAGGGAGCTGATGGATGCTCAGATGAAAACCTTTGACACTACCTTCTCCCATTTCAAGAATTTCCGGGTAGGAGGCTGGGGAGCTGTCCCTGCATCTGTGCTAGCTCTTCAAAGCCTCAGTCTCATTCCCAGAGTTCTAGTGTGGTCCCTGGATGAGCAGCATCAGCATACGGATTTGCAGGTCACCCCAGACCTCCAGAATCAGAAGCTCCAGGGAGGGGCAGGACCCCCGGGTGATTCTGTTGCAGGTTCAGGTTTAAAAATCGCTGCTCTCTTCTTTAAAGCAGGTAGGAACTGGATCTGAGCAATATGTGGAGGGAAAGCTAGGCAGTTCCCCAGGATTGCTGGCATTCAGGGCTTTATGAGGACAGGGTCAGGAACTGTTGGGGGTGTGACTTTCATGAATTGGTGTCTCTTGTTCCCAGCACATTAACCATATCTATGCTTCAAGCGCCCTCCTTCTCCTTTGGACTGATAGATATCTCAAGTGGCCCTTCCCAGCCCAAAGAACTGGATTAGCTCAGTGACCTCAGATCTGCTCTTCCCATCCGTACTGCCCTAAACTTTCTGAGTCTCCTGAGCCCAACATCTGGAATGCTTGGGACACACCATGGTTGGAGGCCCCCTTACCCTCCATTTTGACCCAGCAGGGATAATGTGTGTGACCATTAATTCATAGACCCCCCAAAGCACCTTCATCTGATAGGAGAACCCGGAGAGAAGAAACAAATGTTGTGTGTATGTATGTGTGGGGACACATGCGTGCCTGTGAGTATGAATGCCTGCATTTGTGCATCTTTTCAGGCTGCAGCTGAAGCTATGTATGTTTGACTGGGATCTGAGCATGTATGAAAACACATGCTGTCTCTCCTCTCTCTGCCTCTTGGCATGTGTCCTAGTTGCCAGGTGTGCTTAGCAGTGGCTGTGAGATGCCAGAGTCTCTACAGGCCCCATCGAGGGAAGAAGCTGCCAAATGGAGCCAGGTCAGGAAAGATCTGTGCTCTGTGAAGGTCTCTCTGCAGCTGCGGGGGGAGGATGGCAGTGTCTGGAACTACAAACCCCCAGCCGACAATGGCGGGAAAGAGATCTTTTCCCTGCTGCCCCACATGGCTGACATGTCAACCTACATGATCAAAGGCATCATCAACTTTGCCAAAGTCATCTCCTACTTCAGGTAGGACATGGAGGATGGGTGGTTGGGTGTGGAAACGAACTGGAAGTGGACAGAAGGTTCAAAGGGCCTGGGGTAGATTCCTGAATTTGGGGGATATTGGTGTCAGAAGACCCTCTTTTTCCTGTGCCCTGCCCCCCGGGGCAGCCAGTGCTGCTGGGAAGTAGAGCCCTCGCTGCATGGCTGATTAGCTTTGTGGCTGTGGGCCTGCCAGCGTCTCTGCCTCTTCACCTGCTCCATGGAAGCTAACAATGCCTCCCCTGCAGGGCCGTTCTGTGGAATGAGAACACATCTGAAGAGCACCTGGCACACAGTGGGCATTCAGATGATCATTCCCTTTCCTACTCTCCCTGAAAGTTTCAGGAACCACATGTCAGCAGTTTTAGAGCAAAGAATGAGAGAAATAGACAAGACAAGGCTGTGAAGGCCATGGAGAGGGTGGGTGGTCCTCAGAGCCCAAAGGGTCAGGTCTCACCAGAGCTAAAGGTGGAGGCAACAACCACGGGGCAGCTGGGGTTAGTGGGAGACACGGGAACTTCCTGGGGTGGAGGGAACCACAGCCCCTGAATATGTCTGCACGCTGTTAGTGTTAGGAATGGTGCCAGGTGTATCTGTTCTTGGGTAGGCCACCTTGCCCTTGCCAAGCCTGGTCAAGCCAGGCTGAAACCCCTGCCAGGAGCTCCTGGTTTCTGTAGCAGGTTGAGGGTAGATTGTAGTCTAGGAGCCCAGAGGTTCTTCTCCGGCCCTGTAGGAGCTATGCATGACTTATTTAATGGGGTGATGCCAGCAGCTGGTTTGGAATGGGGTTCAGATGGTGGAAAAAAATTAGCTTAAATGGGGCAGGAAGAGAAGCCTACTTATAAATGTGGACATTGGAAGATCCTTGGTGAAATCCAATGACTGACAATTTAACACCAGGGCTCCCCACTTGCCATTTCTCATGGCCACCAGTGTTGATCACAGTGACCTGAGGTGTCACGGACATCTTCATTCTCAGATAGAAACAGGTTCCCCAAGGATAAGGAACTTGTACAAGGTCACAGCTAATCAGTGGTGGAGGGCAGATTTGGAAGTACCAAAGCCAGCTCGACGCCACGTCCTAAGCCAGGCAATGGGGAGGCAGAGAAGAATAAGATCAATTACATGGCATTTGTAGCTCAGTGTTAAGGATCTATAAGAAGGATGGGCACCAGGAGCCCAGGGCCTGAGTTCCCAAGGAGGCCAAGGCCAGAGGTAGTGTTTCCTCAAAACCTAGCATAAGCAGCCTCCCTCCTGGGCTGCCAAGCCTCCTTCTTGTAAGGGGAGGTGGGGGCCCCTCCCAGGTTGGGAGAAAGTGGTGTCTGCAGGACCAGAGGGGTATCCATGTAACCATAGTCTTAGAGGCCTATTAAGTCACCTCCATGGGTAGGCCTGTGCTCTGGCGCTAGGAGTGGGGCGGCAGGCATCTGGGCTGCAGGAAACAGTAGAAATAAGTGTGTGCATATTAAGCCCAACACAGACAAAAGGAAGCAAACATCCCCACTGCTGGAGCTCAGGCCAGAAGGGGAGATTGCGCTCTGGAAAGACTTCTAGGAGAATCAAAGACAGCTTGGCCTGAGGGGCCAGCAGGATTTACTAAAGGGGCAGTCATTCCAAGGGGGGGAAACTGAGGCAGAAAGGAACAGTCCAGGGACCAGAAGCCAAAGCAAAGTAGGTCAGGGGTTGTGTAGGAGTTGAAGGAGGTGGGGCCAGGCTATAAGGGACCTAGATGCCAAGCTTGGTGGGAGGTAGAGTCCCCTGAGGTAGCAGGGAGGAGAGGATACTTGGGGGCAGAGCTGTCGCTGCTGGGTTGTGAGGGGAGAGATGAGACAACAGCCACAGTCATCCTCAGGGAAAGGAGCATCCTCCCTCTTCCTCTCGCCCCCAACTTCTGGATTATGGGACGGCTGCTGGTGCTGGCCTGTGGGCCGCCTCCCAGGGAGCTGTCCTCCCCTCCCCATCCTTGCTGCCAGGGACTTGCCCATTGAGGACCAGATCTCCCTGCTGAAGGGGGCCACTTTTGAGCTGTGCCAACTGAGATTCAACACGGTGTTCAACGCAGAGACTGGGACCTGGGAGTGTGGCCGGCTGTCCTACTGCTTGGAAGACACTGCAGGTGCCTGAGAGAGCCTGCCTGCCCTGGCAGAGGAAGGGAAACTCCACCCTTGTGGGAGAAAGGGAGCTGTGCCAGGACATGCAGGTTCTGGGATGGCAGGGCAGGAAGATGGAGTGGTAGAAAATATGAGCTTGGTGGGGGATGACTGGCTCTTGGTCAGCTTGCTGTGAAGCTGCCCTCCACCCTGTTACCACCCACAGGTGGCTTCCAGCAACTTCTACTGGAGCCCATGCTGAAATTCCACTACATGCTGAAGAAGCTGCAGCTGCATGAGGAGGAGTATGTGCTGATGCAGGCCATCTCCCTCTTCTCCCCAGGTGAAGGCTTCCCCCAGGGTGGCTGACATCCCCCCAGCCTCATTTGCCCTCCCCAGGGAAGGTCCCAGTCCACGACCTTGCTTCTTACTCACTGCACAGCCAGGATGGGGGCTCTTGCTGGTTTCTCCTGGGGTCAGCGGGTGATGCCGAGCCCTGGTCTTCCCTTACTTTCCTGCCTGGGGGACTCCAGCTCTGGAAGGTGGTTGGTGAGCAATGCCTGGCTCTGGGCTGGAGTGAGCTCGTCTTTGCACCACATCTCCCTCCCCTCCCCTCCCCTCCCCTCCAGACCGCCCAGGTGTGGTGCAGCACCATGTGGTGGACCAGCTGCAGGAACAATTTGCCATTACCCTGAAGGCCTACATTGAATGCAATCGGCCCCAGCCTGCCCACAGGTGAGCACAGCAGGGGTCAGGGACCCGTGAGGGTGGTGTGAGGGAGCCGAGGTTCGGGACATTGCCCAAGGCTTCACAACCAGAGGGTGGCATCTGAAGGTGGACCCAGCCAGACCAGGTCCAAAGCTCACACTTTTGAGCACTACCTAACCACTTCCCAGGAGAAACACAAGCAAACAAGGGGACATGGCCCAGAGAGGGGCTTCCGCACCTTCACTGATCCTCAGTAGCTCCTGTCACCTAGAGCCCAGACTGATGCCCACAGACCCAGAGACAAACTTGGATTGTACTGAGCCCAAGGCCATGAAGGGTTAAGGGCAACACTGAGTATTACAGTGTGGACTTATAAACTGAAATCCTTATTTGGCCTGTACAGCTTTCTTTCTGGCATGGTGTCCTGGGATGCTGGGAGTGGCCATGTCTTTATTTGCTCAACACTTCTTTGCATGGAGGCAGGGGGCTGAAAGTGCCAGCTTTCTTTTCCATCATGGGAATGCTGAGGCATATGGTACATCTCAGACACTAGCTTCAAAGCAAGTTTCAGAAAGGGATTCCAGCCTGCAGCCCCTAACCTCCACAATGACTCTGCCCAGTCCTGGCCTCTGGACATTAATGAAGGCAGTGACATCCCCAAACCTCCACACTGGTAGCTGCAATATCCGGATTTTCCCAAGGAGGTCTCTGTGTACAAAGACACAACTGCTGTGGCTGGGTGTTGTGGCTCACATCTATAATCTCAGCACGTTGGGAGGTCAAGACAGGAGGATTGCTTGGGGCCAGGAGTTCAAGACCAGCCTGGGTAACATAGCCAGACCCCAACTCTAGAACAATTTAAAACAATTAGCATGGTGGCATGTGCTCTAGTCCTAGCTACCCAGGAGACTGAAGCTGGAGGTCTCTTGAGTCCAGGAGTTTGACACTGTAGTGAGCCATGATCATGCCACTATACACTAGCCTGGGCGACAGAACAAGATCCTGTCTCTTTAAAGAAAAAAATAAAAGACACAACTCCCATGGATGGGGTGGGAGTGAGGACAGTACCGGGAAGGCCGTTCTGCCTTTCTCATCCGCAGGCTGAAAGAGAAGCTTAGGTAATTCAGCAAAGCCTTGTCTCTTGGCTGACCTGAAATGTCCAGAGATTATGTTTGTGCAGCCTCAGGGCAGCCCTGAGGCTTGTGGGTCAGGGAAAGGGTGGGCTGCACCTCCAAACTTTTATCCGGCTGGCACGCAGGTTCCTGTTCCTGAAGATCATGGCCATGCTCACCGAGCTCCGCAGCATCAATGCCCAGCACACCCAGCGGCTGCTGCGCATCCAGGACATACACCCCTTTGCTACGCCCCTCATGCAGGAGTTGTTCAGCATCACAGACAGCTGAGCGGCTGCCCTTGGGTGTCGCTTCCGAGGGGCAGCCAGACCCAGGGCCCTCTGAGCTGCCACTCCTGGGCCAAGACAGATGGACACTGCTGAGAGCTGACAATGCCCTGCTGAGCCTGCCTCCCCAGGGAACTCCTGCTATGACAGCTGGCTATCATTCCTCAGAAAGGACATGGATAACCCCCCCAACCCTAGTTCAGTCTGTAGGGAGTGAAGCCATAGACCCTTATGTGGAGAGTGCACTGGCCTGTAGGTCACGACCGTCAGAGAGGCAAGGCTGCCCTTTTCTTCTAAAAGGCCCTGTGGTCTGGGAGAAATCCCTCAGATCCCACTAAAGTGTCAAGGTGTGGAAGGGGCGGCCAGGGCTGGGCCATCTGGGGTCTATGACCACATACCCACGTTTGTTCGCTTCTTGAGTCTTTTCATTGCTACCTCCAATCGTCCTGTCTCCCACTTCCCACTCATTCCCAATCCCAGCCTCCTCTTCTGAGCTGCTTGGCGGGCTCCAGGCCTGTGCTCATTGGCAGGTGCATGAGTATCTGTGGGAGTCCTCTAGAGAGAAGAGAAGCCAGAAGACCTGCACCAAATGCCAAAAGCTTGGCATGACCTCATTCTGGCCACATCATTCTGTATCTCTGCAACCATTTGAACACATTATTAAGCACCAACAATAGGTAGCCTGCTGTGGGGTATACAATGTTGACTCAGATATAGATCCTGAGCTCACAGAGTTTATAGTTAAAAAAAAACAAACAAAAAAAAAAACCAAACAGAAACACAAATAACTTGGATCAAAAGGAAAAATGATAAATGACAAAAGCAGTACAAGGAATTTCCTTGTGGATGCTGAGCTGTGATGACAGATACCGGGAACCCAAGTAAGGTTCCCGAGGACAGGAGTTTGTGGGAGTAAGGGCACAAACTTTGGCTGTGGGTGCGGATGTGTGATTTGGTGTAGGTAGGTCTGTTCCCCATCTAATGGGGCCTGGGTTTGTTCCTGGGGCTGGAATGCTGGGTATGCTCTGTGACAAGGTTACGCTGACAGTCAAACATACCTGAGAAGAATAATTTGCATGCACCTTATATTTCTATGTACACATCTATTCTCCAAGCTAAAGGGTATGAAAGTGCCTGCCTTATTTATAGCCACTTTGAGTAATTTTTTTTTTTTTTGCATTTTCACAAATTATACTTTATATAAGGCATTCCACACTTAAGAACTAGTTTTGGCAAATGTGGTCCTGGGTTTAATGTCAAATTAAGGCAAGAGAAATTAAATAATGAACTTTAGGCTAGAGAGGTAAACTTTTTTGGCCTTCTTTTCTGGGGAAAATAATGTGGGGGTGGGGAAATACAAATAAATACATACGTGCATATGTATTTTTACTACTTATTTTATTATTGTCCTTTATAAATCTAAAGACCCTGGGGTAAGAACATAAACATGAATTATTTAACTTGGCTCACTCATAAAATGATTGTTTTGTATAAAAGTTTAACATGTGCATACCATAATTAAAAATATAGGAACAGAATTAATTTTAAATGTTTAATATTTCATTCAAATGAAACTTCATGGTCACTGAATTTTAAAGAACAGATAATTACTTAGCTTTTGCCATTTTACAAGAAGGAGGCCAAACTTTGAGAACATGGTATATCATCAGTAATATAGATCAAAACAAGTAAACATATTCTGTCATCCCTCTGAATTTACTGGACTTTTCTGCATTAAGTAGATATAGGGAGCACTTACTTTTAGAAAAGATACTGAGGGAAAAAAGAGCTTCTGTTTCCAAACTCAATGAATACAATCTTTGCTCCCAGGAATTTTGCTTAATTATGAACCCATTTATAATTAGAAATACAAATTTCTAATTTGGAAACATAGATTTGATTCCACTCTCTTCATAAATCATATGCATCTCCCCTTCCCTATTGAAATGATTTGAGTGCTATTTGTTCAAGAGTCTGAAACTGTTGCTAGCTGTAGGAGAGGGTAAGGTGAAGTTAGGATGGAATAGAGGGCAAATTTCCAACTCCAGTATTGATTTAAAAACTCCAGGGCAGTTCCCCAAACACTGAATTGATATGTACATGTAATTTATAGATAAATTTAATACTTATAGGTTATAAAAACAAGTGTCTTTCAAGAGTAAAGAGTCAATGTTAGATGCACCAAAGAGCTCACATAGGGTACTTCCTTTCAGTAGTTTTGTGGATCACAAGTTTATGGGACTGGGAGCCAGATTTTAACTTTCCTACTCCAACATTTCCGTGCCTTCTTTACTCCTGTTCCTGAACTTTTGAGTAAGCAGAATTAAGCATCAGTTTCTAGGTATCCTGTGATCACTTTTTTTTTTTCTGGCTCAGTGAGGAAAGGATGGAGTCAGTCTCCAAACTCAGGGCAAAAGACCTAAGCAAGCTACTGCATACCGTCTGCCCCCTCATTAGTAAGGGCCACTCAACAGACTCTCTCTAACTGGCCCAGAACTGTCTAAGTCTTGACATCGACAACAAATCTGTGGGAAGGGCCAGAGTGGCCACTCCCTTCTGGAGAAAGAGGATGTGAAGAGAAACATACATATGATTCCATCCCTTCCAACTCCTGACTCCTAACTTGTGGGCCTCATTATGTCATCTTCCATGGCAGCTTGTTTTTTCCTGGTAGCTTTCCCTTTATGTCCTTCAGCTCTCCTAAATCTGATGGTGCTGATGAGTGAAATATTCCTACACTTGAGAAATGAGTGACCACCCCAACACTTTTGTTCACTTCCTTTCACGAACTTCTCAGTGACATTGATCTAAAACCTGATCTCTCCTCTCCTCACTACCTTCCTAGAACACATTTCAAAATGACATCCAGTGGCTAGGCATGGTGGCTCATGCCTGTAATCCCAGCACTTTGGGAGGCTGAAGTGGGCAGATCACTTGAGGTCAGGAGTTGGAGACCAGCCTGGCCAACATGGTGAAATCCTGTCTCTACTAAAATTGCAAAAATTAACTCAGTGTGGTGGTGCATGCCTGTAGTCTCAGCTACCAGGGAAGCCGAGGCAGGAGAATCACTTGAACCCGGGAGGTAGAGGTTGCAGTGGGCAAGACTCGTATCAAAAACAAAACAAGCGAACAAATAGAAACAAAACAAAACAAAAAAATGACATCTACCATCACTGCTCTCCTGAAATATGATCCCGAAGGACTGTCTAGTCTTTTTGGAAAGACTTAGAAACTAAAAGGGCAGTCATTTCGGATTTTAAATTAAAAGGATCTTGCATGACACTTAACACAATGTTTAACTCAATCCCAGAACCTATACAAGATAGCAGCAAATCCTAAACAAATGTACTTCAGTGCCAGCAGGTGGCCCATTTCACAAGCAACATCTTCTGTTTTGGCTAATCCAATCCTCCCTGCTGCCCCTACTCACAAATGTGTTTAACTGTTTTACAAATGTTAGTGGAATTAGCCAACCCCACCACCACAGTAAATGAGAGAACCACACATTATCGAATATAAATTTGTTTTTATTGAAGCAGCAGTCACATGACCTTAAATCTAGCCTTTAGATTAGGCCTGACAGATTAAGCCAGCCCTAAAAAAAAATGTTGTTTCATTTTGCACTAAGAGACATGTTTACATACATCATCCAGTATTGGAAATGAGCAGACTCAAACACAACATATGTTGGTTACGTGGGAGGTACAGCCCCACTGTTCGTGGTGTCCATATATTTTACAGAGACCCCCAAAGACCATTATTAATAGGATGAAAGTTAAAAGAAAATACAGCCACACCAAATCATGAACACAGTAATCAAAGACAGCAGCTTATACACATTTAAAATTTGTCCCTTTCAGAGTTGTTTTCTTTCTTTCCTAAGCAGTGTCTGCAAAGCTTCCTCTACATCAAATCCAAAGGTTTCCAAGATGGAGGCTGCACCTTTTGGGGCTACACAATGGAATAAAATCATTGGAAAGAACAAGAAGTGGTATTCATATCTTGTTTTTTATAACAAAGATTCATGTTTCCCTAGTTAGAGGAACGGAAATGGTGATGTGACTACATATTGCAGTGGCAAAATAGGTAGGGTGAAGACAGAGAATTGGGTACTGAAATAAAGACCACACACTTGTGAATTTTAATTTCATTTCCAGGCTAACCTACTTTTTATTTAATGCAAATTACAGTACCAGTTAACTATTTCCAAACCAAGTCACATAGAACAAAATGTATTTACAAGGGAATGGGGAAAGGGAAAAAAAACATTGAGCATACTTTTCACAAAAAAGTTTATATTTAAAATGAAAAAAAATCAGTCACAGAGGCATTCAAGTAGTAATAATGTTATACAGATTTTGCTTTTCCTTTATATCAAGACAGATTTGCACAAGTGTTTGCAATAGTTTGTATACAACCCACAGTCCTTTATATATATATATATATATATATATATATATATATATATATATATATAATATTGTTTTTTAGGTTTGTTTTTAAGATGGAAGTGGTCACGCTAATTGGTATGTGTACAGGCCCAAGTGATCCATCGGCAACACATTTATAAATGCAAATTTTACAGGCAAGCAGATTTCATTCATCTATCTGTATCTGCCTGTAGACAGATATAGTAAGGAAAAAAAACTTTAAAATTAACACAAGGAAGTCTACTTTGTCAAGGTAACCCCTTATGTACTGGTTGTCATTTTGCTTTTATTGCGGAGGTGCAAAACGGAGCAACAAACTTGAATAAGATGGCATAAACCTTGTGAAAATAATCCAAACCCCAGGGATTACTTTCAAAGCCTCTCAAAGGTAGATCTCAGTCTGGGACTCTACTGTGCTTCTAGTCGTCTCTTATTTTCGGTGGCTCAGGTTTCTACCAGAAAAGACAGATTTTATTGTAAAGCATACTTTTCTATACAGGGGAGAAGAGTGTTTGGCTCTGTGATTAGATGGTCACTAACATGAACAGTAGGAATGAGACACAATTTTGATTGAGAAGAAAGAACCACTCCCACCCCCACCCCCACAAACTCCTGGGGATCTGGCATTGGCCAAACTTCCTTTGGAAGATTCCAAAGTTAAATCCTTTAAAAAGGAAAGGGAAAAACAGATGAAATGCCAGTGTCTTTATATCCACAGGGATAGAGAATATAATAGTCCTCTCAGAAACCTTTGCATTGGTGCAGACAAGATGACTGGTTAGGTACACTTTGTTAAAACATAAACCAAAAGTATGTGTCTAAAACTTAAGAGGACTTTAAAAAAATGACACAGCATGTCATTGGAAAGAAGGTGCAGTCTTCTGCCTTGCTGGAATGAACACACGATGTTTCAAAAATAGTAACCTTTGGTTTGGTAAAGTTTTTTCTTTTATTCAATACCTCTTATATGGAGTACTTTGAGGCAAAACACTCATTTTTCTTTCAAAGAAGGCCTTCGGGTTGGGCACACAGTAAGAATAAAACTGATTTTTTAAAAAAGAAAATAACATTTCATTAAACAAGAGTAGAGATGGTGGGAGGGAGGAAATGGGCTAGGAGTTCCCTTGTTAAAACAACAGTCCTCTACTGGCACGGTGGCACGCCATGCAGTTAACTGCTAGTAATTGCACTATAGCGTTTAGACCACTGATGTATCAAAACCTGATACTATTAAGAAACTTCTACTTATAAAAAAACCAATTCTCTCTCATTCTCTCATTTGGGAGGGAAGTAGATAGAAGAGGAGAGAGCATGGAAGGCTCCCAGAATCTGCTGTTTTTAAGACCCACAGTTAGGGCTTGTGGAAGAGACGAGCAAAATCTAATCTATTCGATATCCTCCAGCTCTAGGGCTCCCTGGCACTACACTAAGTCCCTGAATGGACTAAGTATGAAATGAAACCAGTCACTGCTACTGAGGAGGAAACAGACGTTCAGAACCAAAACAAAGGCAGGACTTGAACAAAATGAGATAATGAATATGGTTTCCTCTTCCCGCTCCTGAGTATGGTATCACTGAAACTTAACTTTGGAAGGGGCGAAGATACTGTTATGAGAGTTTTTATTTCAAAGGGAAATGGGGCGCACAGGGAAACATGGATAAAGGAAACCAATTAAAATTTTAAAAAGAACAAATTAAAAAAAAAAACACACACATGGAAGCGAAGGCACTCCAAACTATATAGATACACTATACATTGCTAGAGTTATTGTTACAATAATACAGGCCGGTACCTACTGTACAGAGTTAAAACTATATGGCTTTAAAAAGCTCGTCTACATTTTGTCTGATTATTAAACAGAATCACTGCCCTGAACAGTAACTTTTTGCTCATTAATAACAGTTCCTGGGTCCACATATTTACATACAAAACAATAAAACTTAAATTTAAAAACATAGAAAGAAAATATAATGTACAAGCTTGAATTTGGTGAGGAGCTTTTTATTATTATTATATACAAAAAGATATTCAGAGACCTGGATCTCACTTGTATAAAAGAGTTCTGTGATCCCACCATGATCCTTGAGAAAGAAAAATCACACA